CCGGGATGAGATTGTAAAAGCCCTTCTGGGAAAAGGTGCCCAAGTGAATGCTATCAATCAGAATGGCTGTACTCCCCTGCATTATGCAGCTTCAAAAAATAGACATGAGGTATGGTGTGTCTGGGCTACTTTTGTTGAGTTCTAAATGTGTTCCCAACCACAGATGTTGTGCACTGTTTCCTTTTCTATACTTTCAGATTGCTGTCATGTTATTAGAAGGTGGGGCGAATCCAGATGCTAAGGACCATTATGAAGCTACTGCAATGCACCGGGCAGCAGCCAAGGGTAACTTGAAGATGATTCATATCCTTCTGTACTACAAAGCATCCACAAACATCCAAGACACTGAGGGTAACACTCCCCTGTAAGTGACAAGAAGCAACCATTCATATTCTACCTATTAGCCCTCTAAAAGTAATTTGTACACATCATTTCTTTTACTATTCTGCTTATAAATGCGACAACTGTTAATGGCAAAGAATTGGTGAAAGTATGCCAAAGCATAAAGACAAAAGGAAAAATTGTGTATAATTTTGCCACCCAAAAATAGCCGCTGATAACATATTTGGCTGTTTCTTCCTGTCTTTTCTATGCAAATATGTATACTTCATACATATATTTTAACAAGATTGGGGTCCTACTGTATATATAGTTTTATAACTTCTCACTTCAAACTATGTCGTGGGCATTTTCCAATGTCATTAAATACCTTTAAAACATTTGTAATGACCATATACAATTCCAGTTTGTGGATGTGCCATAATTTAATCATACCTTTGTTGCTATGTGCTAGCCAGTGAAAATCAACGTCAGAAGTATGTCACAGGTAGTAGAGTGATAGCCAAGCAAGCTTGAGGCCCTCAGTTTAAATCTTATTATCACTAGGCAAAGACAAAAATACAAATATTGCTTTGGTAATTCTTAGTTTTCAAAAAATCTTTCTATGTTCTGAGTAACTATTTAGAAAGATCTGCATCCCAGTGATCTGCATCACTAACATAATCTGCAGCAAATGTAGGAGTTAAATAACTTAATTTTTTCATCTGTAATATTACAATAGTAATTTCTTCCTCACCAGATTATTTTGAAATTTAACTAAAATAGTATGTAAAGTACCTTATACTGTGACTGGCAAACTATAAATCCCTGACAAAAGTTAGTTTCCTTTCCTTGATAATAACTTGATAGATTATGAGGCAAATTTCTGGATCAAAGAAGATAAAATCTTCTCAATTGCATTTCTAAAATTTAAGTTCCAATAAAAAACTAGTAATACATAATGAATTGAAGCTTTTTATAACCCTGAATTATTTTATATTGTGTTTGGAGTAAACGATTACTAATACCCAGAAAATTAGAAAGCATTTAGATTCATTCATCTATTTAGGCGAATGATTTGGGAATTAATAAGACTATTTTGTGGATTTCAACTTATAAGCAGTCTTTCTTATAGAAATTGATTTCCCTTCCTTTATTAAATAAGTTTCCAGCACTCCCACTGCCTGATGATAGACACATTACAGTACCTAGAAGGAAATCTTAACATTCCATAGTACTGATACTATGATGAATTGGTCTTTGTGGTCTCAATTGCAGACACCTAGCCTGTGATGAGGAGAGAATGGAAGAAGCAAAACTGCTGGTGTCACAAGGAGCAAGCATTTACATTGAGAATAAAGAAGAAAAGACACCCCTGCAAGTGGCAAAGGGTGGCTTGGGTTTAATACTTAAGAGAATGGTGGAAGGTTAAACAGTTTGGATCTATTCTTATTTTGTAAGTTTTGTCATGCCCATTGTTCTGGAACCTAATGTTGTGCACAAGGTATTATGTATGAATAGTGACATTTTCTCACTTTTAAAATCTTAGAAACTTATGTTGGATTGGTCCTGCTGAGGTACTTGTTCTAATCTTTGAACCTGCTTTCCAAGCATTGAATAACTGTTGAGGTTGTTCTGTTGTCATATAGTATACCGTATTGGATTTTGGGTCATTTTGAGTGAGTGTGGCTGTCATTTTTTGGCTATTGTGAGTCTTGTGTTATCTTCCAAGCACCTTCTTGCCCTCTGTGAAGCAGAACAACCCCAAGAGCATTCTAATTGGCCATCCTGTGTTCCACCCTTAAAACATCCTTACTTGTCTTCATGCTTGCTCAGAGGCCTGTGCCAAATATTTCTGTATTTTCACCCATGAAGCTTACTTTATTTTTGTTACAGGAGGAATACTTACATATTTTAATGGACCAAATTGTAGAGGGTATGTTTTAAAAGAATGTGGAACAATAGCCTGTATACCCACGTATCTTTTTAATGAGCTGGTTTGCCAGAAACAAGTTGTATCACTTTTTAAAGGAAAATTTAAAAAATATCTGTATGTAATCACCTTTTATTGAAAAGAAGGTTAAGCTTGTTAAACAGTGGCAATATAACAAATGTATTTTCATTTGTATTTCAAAAAATAAAATATTGGAAGAATCCCCCAATTTTTCTTTCCATCAGTTAGACATTGAGTAAAGACATATTTTTCAGTTTGAGGTAGCTCTACAGTCAATAAAATTATTAACAGAGCTTGAACTGCAACTAAGATCTTCAAAAATGGTAGTCTTTTGAATTGTAAAGAACAACAGGAAAACAAAGGAGGAGGCTACAATGTTTGATAAGAAATGTACTCATTATCTTGCCCATGTAATTGTAACCCCTCTGTACAGTATTTTCACAATTAAAAAAAAGAACAACAGGAAATTAGTAAGTAAATTTGAGCTCAATTTAGAGAAGCTGGGCTGGGAAGGTGGCTCAGTGGTAGAGCGCTTGCCTTGCATGCATGAGGCCCTAGGTTTGATTCCTCGGCACCACATAAGCAAAAAGAAAAAAGCCGGAAGTGACACTGTGGCTCAAGTGGTAGAGCTCTAGCCTTGAGCTGAAGAGCTGAGGGACAGCGCCCAGGCCCAGAGTTCAGGCCCCACAACCGGACCAAAAAAAAAAAAATTTAGAGAAGCTTCTTAAATGATTCTTAGTCAAGACATCTAATGAAGTCTAAGTGACTATTTTTTAATTTGAATTTTATGCTAAAAACATTCCCTGAAGTGATCCAGGTGAGCTCACAAACTTGCATTAAACCTAATGACCAGTAATTAAAATAACTTTTGAAAACATGAAATTTAAGATTGACTACATAAACATTTTGAGAACTGATACTTTTAATCCTTGTCAGGTAAGCTTCTTGCCTGAGAAATGAAGACCTGAATATGTCAATAGGCTAATAATAGTGGGAGAATCCTGTGTACATGGCGAGGTGAATAAGTTACGACAAATGCCAGGAAGGGAACTAAAAGGAACAATCCAAAGGCACCACTTCATATTAACATACTTGTTTCCCAACCTTGTCCACCTAGGAAAACATACTCTATATTTTAAAATCCAGACGCCCATTCCTTCCAATCCACAGAATCATTATGTGGAATACATTATGTGGATTTCAGCTTAGCTCTCAAGCTACCAATGATCTGTTATAACTCCCCACCCGCCTCTGCCACATAAGGAGCAAGTCATCCACAAATTTGTAAATGTGTCTTCTGTGTTTTAACCTAAGTCACTATTCTTTTTTTCCTAGTAATGGGATCTTGAACTCAGGCCCTGGGTGCTATCCCTTTGCTTTCTTCATTCAAGGCTGGTGCTCTATTACTGGAGCCACCTTTCTACTTCTGGGTTTTTACTAGTTGATTGGAGATAAGAGTCTCATGGACTTTCCAGCTCAGACTGGCTTCAAACCTTTATCCTCTAATTTCAACTTCTTGAGTTTCTAGGATTACAGGCATGAGCCACCAGCACATAGCTAGGTCATTATTCTTAATCTTGGGTTCAAGAAGTATATAAATCATCTAAAACTGTATGTGACACTAATTTATGTATAAGGCATTTTTAAATGGTGAGGAGATCCAGCGTTTTCAACAGATTCTCAGAGTGATCTGCGACCTCAATAGCTAAGTATTGATCCCACTATCCCACAGTATTTTGAACAAGATAGTGTTAATAAGGAAGGTCAGTACTCTTTAAAGCTCTAGTAGAGCCTTCTTTCCAGCACTGACACACCAGAATTTGGGGGATATGTTTAATGACTTTATCATGTCACTGCATTTTCTTGTGACATTCCTCCATCATAAAAGTGGAAGGGAAAATGAATTTCAGCTACTTGGGCATTTTAGTAATTGAGATTTTTTTACTAATGGGCTTTAATTTTCAATCTCAAAGTATTAGGTCATTGTTAAGACCCTTTTCATTTTGTTTCCTGTAGCCATCAGACACTATATTATCATAGTATTTCATCTCTGAATGAATGCTTCAAAAATCCCTGAGTTTGGCAGAAATTTAACACACCAGAGAAAAATACCAAAGTAAAAGCTTGCTTGGACATGTAATTAACATTAATTTCCATTCACCTTAGAACCTACAAAGAGTATCTCAAGTGCCATATAAATATGATCTATAGAAAAAATTCTCTACATGAAAAACTGTATGTGATATGTTAGAGGTTCATTATCTTCTTTGAAAAGCATCTAGCACAGAAGGAAAAGACAGAAAGTATAATACTCTATGTCCCATTAGAATAAATGCCAGGGGGCTGGAATGTAGCTCAGTGGCAAAGCGCTTGCCTAGCAAGTGCAACGTCCTGGGTTCGATCCCCAGTACCAAAAAAGAAAAGAAAAAAAAGAATAAATGCCAGGGAAAGGCAAAACTAATTTCTAGTGATGGAGAACATATTGGTGGTTGTCTAGGTCCATGACACAATGAGATTTTACAGAGGCTCATTTCAGGCTGATGGATATGGTTTATGTCTAGATGAATATGTTGGCTTCATGGGTGTGCAAAACTGTCAAAACTTTAAATTGTACACTTAAAGTGGGTACACTTTATACTGCATAAATTACATGTTGATAAAGTTTGTTAAAAGATTTTATCTTAGGAGTCATTAAAATGCATTTTTATTGAGCCTTAAGATGTATGATTGGTTACATAAGTAAAAGAGTAAGTCTACTTATAAATTTCTCCTAGGTAGGATATTAGTCAAATATGAAAATGCTTTTCAGCAGATAAAAACTGAGATTAATGCATTTTAGGTAATATTTAGCATTTATACAAGAATGCTATGCATCTTATTCATGCAGGCTATATGAACAGTAAAAGAGATTACTTGAAGAATTAGTTGAAATTATCTAAAAGCCATCTAATCATTTATTTATTAACACTCTTCTTAATCTGCCCCTTAGCATCAGACACTATGGTAGTACAACTTGGCTTATTCAAAGCTAAATAGCACATCCATCTATCATACAAACACTTTATATTTACCAAAGGAAGATTACATTTAAAATTGTTTGCCTATATTTTATTTGGTATCTAAGAATTGAGTTGCCCCCAGATGGCCCATGTTCTGGACCAGTGCATAATAATTCTTTATCATACTTATAGAGCCCTCTCCCCATGTCAAAATGAACTGTGAAGAGCAAAGAGAATCAAGTGCTTTTGCACAAATGGACAACCATTGTACATTGGATGAACCATGTGAAAAGACACCACAAGAGGAGATACTCAGTTTCACACTACCCAGTAACCCAACCCTATTGAAAAGATCCAAAGTCCTGACAGTTTCCATACAATGTCCTTATCCAGTTGCCTCCCTCGCTCACTGAGAGATACTTTTGCTTTGCTAATAAATCACTCTTTACTATTTAAAACAACTGAGTTGTAATCAAAACATAACACTTTGACACCAGAGTAACTTTTGGGAAATTTAACATGATAAATTGAAAAGCTTGACCTCAAAGTTATGTTCCAAATAATACATACCCTTATATTTTCTTCTCTGTTGTTTTGGAGAAATTTTTTCCCTAATCTATGAACTAATGCTATTGAACTGTTTTCTTAGTGGAAAATATAAAAGTGAACAGAGAGGCCTGACAACTTATCCTAGAAATGCTATAGAGTTTATGTCAATTTGCTACATGTGTAAGTGACCATAATGACGAGTAGAGGAAAAACAAATAGAAAATAAGATTTTCTGCAATATAACTAGAGTTGTTGCAAAAGCCTTTTAACTGAGTTAGGAATCACTTACCCTACATTCTTTAGTATTCTGTTCTGATAATGCAGGAACCCTCGCATTTAGTTAGCAGTGAGCATTAACCCATTTGTTTTGGATTTATGTTAAGCCCGAGCACCTTGTTAGAAGAGGGTTAGTCAGAATTGAAGGAGGGGATGGAAGCTCATTAGGTCAACTGAATTCCAAACACCAGTAATGGGATCCTTGGTGATAATTCTGCATATAGGGGTCAAGTTATATCTTAACCATTTCCTTTTCCTCATCACCCTGGGGTTCAACTGTAACCTCAGGCTCTGGCTCTGCCTCTGCCTCTGCCTCTGCCTCTGCCTCTGCCTCTGCCACAGGCTCTGCCTCTGCCACAGGCTCGGACTCAGGCACTGGCTCTACCTGAATCTCAACCTCTGACATAGGCTCTGGCCCTAGGAAAGGATCAGGGATGGCATCCAGCTGTGATTTAGGCTCAGAAATTGGTTCCAGGACAGTATTAGGGTCAACCACATGAATGGAGGGTGGCAGAGATGCTTCTATCTTGGCAGCGTCTTCAGTTGGCATTCCTTCAACCTCTCTGGTTTGGTTTATGTTTGTCATTGGCCTACAAGAAAGCAGACCCAGACAAGAACAAGAAAACGCTAACTTCATTCTCACATACATACATTGAATATTATGACTGAATTTACCCACCATTCCTCTCTCCATTCATCTGCCCTCTCATCCCTTAACCTTCCCTATACAACACATATTTGAGCTTCCTCATATTCACTTTGTTAAACTGTGTTAGTTGTTCAAAAGAGTTACACCATTGCAATACCCCCCTGCATATACCATACCTTGGTCAAAATGTTAGTGTTTGTGTTTGTGTGTGTGTGTGTGTGTGTGTGTGTGTGTATACCCATGAACCTGTATATGTTTTCATATACGTTTATAACTTAGATCAAACTCCTATGTATGAGAGAAACATGAGCCTTTTGTCTCTCTCAAACTTACTTCATTCACTTAACATAATTTTTCCATGTTCTTCCATCCAGAACCATGTTATTTATTCTTTCTGATTATTCTTTCTGATTATTCTCTGATTTTTCTGATTATTCTCATTATTCTTTCTGATAGATTAGTAAAATTACATTGTGTGTGTGTGTGTGTGTGTGTGTGTGTGTGTGTGTGTGTGTGTGTGTGTGTGTGTGTGTGTGTGACATTTTATTAATCCACTCATCTACTATACGGCATCTGGGCTATTTCCATAACATAGCTATTGTGAATAATGGAGCAATGAACATGTGTGTGCAAAAGTCTTTATTGCATCCTGGCTTATAATCTTTTGGAGAAATGCCCAAGAGTGGTATCACTGAATCATAAGGTAGTTCTATGTTTTTTGAGGAATATCCTAACTGCCTTCCTTGGTGGTTACACTAGTTTACATTACCATCAGCAGTTTGATAGGCTTCCTTTTCCCCATCATCCAAGCTAGCATTTGCTGTTGTTTGTATTCTGATGATAGACATTTTGAATGGAGTGGAATGGAATCTTAATGTTGTAGATGGAAGCATTGACAAATGAATGTATATGGCCTACACTACACAAGAAACAGGAGAGTGATTAGAACATAGGCTGTGGGCCTAGACACATTCTGATTTTTGTGAACTCTATCACTTTGGGCCTCTAGTTCCATAAAAATATTCAAAATTACTTTTATTGCTGTATGTTAACATTATATCATAAAACTGTGGGGGAATCTAAAAGTATTGTTGTGATGATTAAATGAGTTGATAAATATGAAGTGCTTACAGAAGAATCTGGCACAATAGATTTAGTAAATGGTAGCCAACATCATTCTTTGAATAAATCCAGTGAGAGACCAGAAAAACATTTGAATATCTTATGCTAAAAGAAATATTGAGGTATTTCTGACTAAAGAAATATACCTAAGAAATTTTTTCACTCTCAAAATGATGTGTGAATTGAAGTAAAGGACTTACTCCAGTTCTGTGGTGGTGCTGGAATCCCTCTTCCTTTGCTTTGCCTTTGCCTTGCTTTTTGCAAAGTACACGGCAAAGATAATAATGGCTGCACCTACCAGGGCACCAACCAAGGCTCCAATGATGATTCCAGCTTCTGGATCTGGAGGACCAAAGCAGCCAGTTAGTAAAGTAGAACATATTGTCATATCCTACATGTATACTGATGCATGAGGGAGAATATTTGGAACATTCACATAGCAGGGGAGTGATGTGGGGAATAGCAGGGGGAATAGGAACCCCTAGATTTCTACCAGTGAGATTCACAGTGGATGAAGAAAGATATGTATGTTAACTGTGCGACATAACCACTAACACTGACACATGCAACTATGGTCAAAGCCAAGTTGCTTTCAAACTGAGATTTGGAGGTAAGTCTCATAGGCTTTCCTGCCCAAGGTGGCTTTGAACCATGATCCTCAGATCTCAGCTTCCTGAGTAGCTAGGATTACAAGTATAAGCCATTGGTGCCCTGCTCTTTTTGTTTTTTTGAATCAGTTTGTCACTGTTGTTCAAACTGGCCTGGAAAGTCACTACATAACCAAGCTGGCCTTAAACTCATGATCCTCCTGCCTTTGTGACTTGAGTGCTAGAATTATAGGCATAAGCCACCAGATTCAGCTGAGAATATTGATGCTGTTTTGTTGTTGATTTTGTTGTTATTGTCATTATTATTGGCAAATTCTAACAGAGTATTATTTTTGTGGTTGTGTGGCTTGAACTCAGGGCCTGGGCATGGTCCCTGAGCTCTTTAGCTCAAAGCTAGCGCTCTACCACTTTAAGCCATAGTACCACTTCTGGTTTTCTGGTGATTAGAGATAAGAGTCTCACTGGACTTGCCTGCATGGGCTGGCTTTGAACTGTGATCCGATCCACAGTTCTCAGCCTCTGAGTAGCTAGGATTAAAAGCCTGAGCCACCAGCACCCAGTCCTAACAGAGTATTTAAGAACTGAAAAGTCTGTCAACTGTATGTATAAAAAAGTCACCTGGGTTTATAAACAGCATCCTAAAGAGAAATCTAGCCTGATATGACTATTGTCTTATCATATATTAGTATCTACTCCCTAGAGAACAAATTGCATTTTCTAAAGGATTTAGGGAACATACTAATAGAATACAAGCGTGAAATATAATGGTATACCTCCTATTACTCTATTAATAAGGTACTCAAGCATCTGGAGAGGCAAGAAAGACTAACCAAATATTCTAATTAATGTGCTTGGCTGACAGGCCTAGTCAAAAAGAGAAACAGTAAAAGCCACAAGGTCAACTCACGTGAAGAGGTTAGATCAATTTCACAGGAACTATTGCCCAGGCTGTTGATGGCAATGCACTGGTAATAACCTTGCTTATAATTGGTCAGATTTCCAATAACCAAAATCCCATTGGCTGAGCCTATCAAAACCAGAAAATAGAATTTAATGTTGTATTGGGTACCAGTCATGTTAGAGTATCACACCATCCAGTGCCCACGGACTTCCTCACAATGGCTCCCTTTCTGGAGATATCCAGGGTCCAACTAGAGCTCTGTTAGTAAGAGCTAGTAGCCCCTCTAGGGCCATGCCTGTTTCCACCATACTCACCTGGATTCATTGTCAGCTGGATTCTAATCATTGGGGAGCACACATAGCAAATCATCATGTTGGCAGGCAATTTTTTTAAAATCTCTTAGACAGGCGCTGGTGGCTCATGCCTGTAATCCTAATTACTCAGGAGGCTGAGATCTGAGGATCACAATTCAAAGCCAGCCTAGGCAAGAAAGTCCGTGAGACTCTTGTCTCCAATAAACCACCCCAAAACCGGCAGTGGTGCTGTGCCTAAACTGGTAGAATGCTCAGCTTGAGCTGAAGAGTCCAGGGACAGGGCTGGGAAGGTGGCTCGGTGGTAGAGCACTTGCCTTGCATGCATGAGGCTCTGGGTTCGATTCCTTAACACCACATAAGCAAAAAGAAGAAAGCCGGAAGTGGTGCTGTAGCTCAAGTGGTAGAGCGCTAGCCTTGAGCTGAAGAGCTGAGGGACAGCGCCCAGACCCAGAGTTCAGGCCCCATGACCGGACCCCCCCCCCCAAAAAATAATAATTTAATGAGCTTCATTCTGTTTTCATATATGCAGATAATGTAATTCAATAATATACAACCCATCACTCTCTCCTTTAACTTTCCACCTCTTGCTATTGTTTATAGAAACAATTTCTTAGGGAGCTGGGAAGATGGCTCAGTGGTAGAGCGCTTGCCTTGCATGCATGAGGCCCTGGGTTCGATTCCTCAGCACCACATAAGCAAAAAGAAAAAAGCTGGAAGTGGTGCTGTGGCTCAAGTGGTAGAGTGCTAGCCTTGAGCTGAAGAGCTGAGGGACAGCGCCCAGGCACAGAGTTCAGGCCCCACGACCGGACCCCCCCCCCAAAAAAAGAGTTCAGGGACAGTGCCCAGACCCAGAGTTCAAGCCCCACAACCAAAAAATAAATAAATAAACTCTTCCCCTACCAAGAAAAGAATATTAGACACTAAGGACAGGCAGCCATCCACACACACATGCAGTCAGCCAACCCCACTGCCCAGGCCTTACCATGCACTGCCAAAGATAACACTTACTAGAGCTTTCTTTCACTGACATGATGTTTTTTCCCTCAAGCTTGTTCCAGTAGTACGTAGGAGATGGTGATCCAATCTCAGAATGGCAACTCAGGGAAATAGGTTGACCTCTTTCTGGTCTTCCTTGGACACTACAAAAGGGCTTAGATGGTTTGACTGTAAAGCAATGACAAAGAGTAAAACTCATGCAGAATGAATGACAACCTGTAATAATTGTAGTCATTTCATTTTACAAAATATATGTCTATTTTTAAATCTCAAAAAAATATATTTGGACAGTTTTCTGGATGTACCACCAGATGGGAGTAGAGCACTTCAGAACCAGGACCTACTAGTCAGTAGGCCATTTAAATTCAAATAGTGTCTCTCTGTCTCCTCTGTCTGCCTCTTGCCTAGATTTATAGCAGTAAATTTCTGCATTGTGTCCTAAAATATGCTTTTATTAAAACAGCCAAATGTAAGCAAACATTAAATGACTTTGAGCATAGTTCATACTTTAAAACCAATTCCCAATGAAAATAGAACCCCTTAAATACTTTGGAATAATTTCATTTTTATACTTGGTTAAAAATATTTCATTGGTACTGTGTTTTTCCATTCCTTTACATGTTTTTTTTTCTATTTATTCATTGATGGGTGACAAAGGAGAGCTAAAGGACTAGAATTTGCCTGTGACTCGCATCAATACTCAAGCCATTATTCATCCTGCACGGAACTAGACACTGGGGATTTGGGGATTTAATGTTAGCCCAGATCTAAATTTGGATAGAAGAAAGATAATAGATGGGTTTAGACACTGGTAGGAGGCCTATCTTAGAAGGCTTGTAGTCTATGTATTTTATACAAGAACAAGGTAACCATGGAAGGAGTTTAAACAGGGTAGTGAGGATGGTCATTTTAACATTTTACATTGATCTCTGTGACACTAGGGGTGCCTGAATCAAGGAAAAGGAGGAGGCAGATTTGAGAAGTATTAACAAAGTAGAGTGCAGCTAGGCTCCAGTGAATCACACCTGTAATCCTGAGGCTGAGATCCAAAGAATCATGGTTTCAAGCCTGCCCTAACAGAAAAGTCCTCAACACTCCCTCTCTAAAATAAAAAAAGCTCAGCTGGAGATACGAAGAGTGGTAGAGCATGAGCCAAAAAAGCCAGTGAGTGGACCAAGAGGGCTTGAGTTCAAACATCAGTAATGTCAAAAAGAAAATATGTGTGCCACAGGATTTGTTAACCAACTGGATATGGAGGATGAAGAAGAGGGATGAATGCAAGGTGATTCCCAGACTTCTGATTGGACAGTAAAGCTCATGATCATGCATTCATCTTTGATAAAGAATGCAGGTAGAGGAGCAAGTTTCAGGGGAAGGGGTGATTAGGAGAAAGGAGCAGAGAAGTTCTAAAAGGAGCTGGGCATCAGGAGCACCCCTTTCTCTTTACTTTGTATTGCTTTATTCTATCCTTAATCACACATACACAAACAATGATTTCAAGTTCTATATATTCTAATTCATCCTCATTTTCTTTCTTTCTTTATCTTTCTATTCTTTCTATCTGCCCTCCTTCTTTCTTTCCTCCTTTCCTTTTTTGTCTCCTTCCTTCCTTTGTTCCTTCCTTCCTTCATTCCTTTGCTCCTTCCTTCCTTCCATTTTCTTTCTGCTAGTACTGAGGTTTGAATTTAGAGTCTCATGCTTGGTATTCTGGATTGCTAGGCTGGTGCTCTACCATTTGAGTCATACCAACAGCCTTGCTTTTTGCTGGTGATTTTGGCGATGGAGTCTCTCAGTCTTTTCTGCCAGAACTGGCTTTGATTTTTGATCCTCCTGATCTCAGCCTTCTGAGTAGCTAGGATTATAGGTGTGAGCCACCAGCACCTAGCTTTATGACCTTAATTTGAATGTAAAACTCACCAAAGGTTGAGATGCTTTAAGTCATACCTTAAATGCTTCTAACCACTCAACCGTCCAGTTTTTCCCTGGAACACAATAATGAGCTCAGTTCTGGACACACACAGAATACTAGCTCTGCAACTTTATCTTGGATGTGTCTAGACAAGTTACCTAACTTAAACCTCAGTTGGCTCATCTGCACAAAGTGAATAAGTGATTATCTAGACTCTGGCATATCTAGAGATTACATTTAAAAACTATCCTTGCACTTGGAATTGCTCTTCGCCATGGACAAATCTAATCCTGCTACTAAAGTTAATCTTCCATGGACTTTTGCTCTCCTCAGCCATGTCAAAGTTGTTAGTAAGAAAGCATGCATAAAATTGGTCAGTCACTTGTAGAAAACTAAAGCTAGATCCTTATATACCACCCTGCACCCGAATGAACTCCAAATTGATCAAAGAGCTGGGAGTCAAAGCAGACACCCTGAAAATATACAGGAGGGCTGGGAAGGTGGCTCAGTGGTAGAGTGCTTGCATTGCATGCATGAGGCCCTGGGTTTGATTCCTCAGCACCACATAAGCAGAAAAATCCAGAAGTGGTGCTGTGGCTCAAGTGGTAGAGCACTAGGCTTGAGCTGAAGAGCTGAGGGGCAGTGCCCAGGTCCAGAGTTGAAGCTCCACAACCATCAAAAAAAAGAAAAAGAAAAAGAAAATATTACAGGACAGAATAGGAGAAACCCTAGGTCTCCTTGGCACAGGCTGAAAGGTTAGACAAATGGGATTGAATGAAATTGCAGAGCTTCTGCATGGTAAAGGACATAGCTAGAAAGATCAATAGAAAGTCTACAGATTGGGAGAAGATATTCACTAGCCATACAAGCGACAAGGGTTTCATGCCTAAAATATACCTGGAACTCAAAAAATTAAATTTCACAACAACAAATCTTCAAAAAAACAACGGCCCAATAAATAAGTGGGCTAAAGACTTAAAGAGAAACTTCTCTGAAGAGGAAAGAAGGATGGTCAAAAGACACATGAAGAAATGCTCAACCTCCCTAGTCATAAAAGAAATGCAAATCAAAACACCACTGAGATACCACCTCATCCCATTTAGAATGGCTATAATCAAGAACTCTAATAACAACAGATGCTGGAGGGGATGTGGACAGAAGGGAACCCTACTGCATTGTTGGTGGGACTGTAAACTTGTTCAACCACTTTGGAAAGTAGTATAGAGGTTCCTCAAAAGACTTCACATAGAGCTCCCCTATGACCCAGCAATCCCACTTTTGGGCATTTACCCAAACAAGACCATACTAAAGCTACCAGCACAACTATGTTTATTGCAGCGTTATTTGCCATAGCTAAGATATGGATCCAACCCAGAGGCCCCTCAGTAGATAAATGGATCAAGAAAATGTGGTATATATACACAATGGAATTCTATGCCTCCATCAGAAAGAATGACATTGCCCCATTTGTTAGGAAATGGGAAGACTTGGAAAAAATTATATTAAGTGAAGTAAGCCAGGCCCAAAGAAACAGGTCCCATGGTTTCCCTTATTTGCAATAATAATATATGTCTGAGACAAGCAGAACGGTCAGATAAGTCGATGTTAGGTGAAATGAACCCCAAGATAAGGACTCAAATGGTTTTTCTTTCTGGCTATTGTTTCTAACGTATTTATAAGATGATTTCTTTGTTGCTTTGTATGTCCCTCCCCCACAGTATAACCCCTTTTTTCACTGTATTTGATGTTGGTATAATTTGTGGAGTGGAAGGGAAAAAACAAATCATTTAAATAGGGATACAGGTGGACCTATTGCACCAATGAGATGTACAAGATGTTATGTCGAAAAACAAACTCTACAACTTTGGCGCGGGGTGGGGGAATGGGGGGTGGGGGGATAGGGTGATGGGGGTGATGAGAAGGGATGGGAATGGGAAACGGAGGAGGAGGCAAGAATGCTTGATAAGAAATATACTCATTACCTTGCTTATGTAATTGTAAGCCCTCTGTATGATATTTTCACAATAAAAAAAAAAAAGAAAGAAAGAAAGCGTGCATATAGCTATAGCTCTCTGAAACATACAATGATCTCTATCTTAAAATTAAGCATTAAAGCATTTTTCTATTTTGCTTGTGACTCTCTGTTGTTTGACAATGACTTTCTCATATGGATACAACTTGATTTGCCTATCCTAAACTACGCTATTTAACTAGGAGTCCACTGCAGCTGTTATTAGATTCAGATACTGCCTTATTTTAGAGACAGGGATTTTATAGCCTTTATGGCAGAATGCAATTTTGAATAGAAAATTAAATGTGAGTGTTTTATCATAAAAATCAGACACTATGTCTTGAACTAAATTATGGACAGTAGCCTAGAAATTTGTTTTCATTTCAAACCTATGTAGGCTTTTGGATGATAAACACATTTTTCTTCTCTTATTTTTCATTAACAAAACACTAATTGAATCACTTTGATCCAAACCTCAAAACTATATATGTATTCCAAAAGTACTGAATCAGAACTGAACTGACATTTCATGCAGTTAAAGTTCCCAGTAAAACTTAGATGTTTTACTGGCAAAGCCATTGATCTCCCTTTAACTTTATTGCTTTCAACAAAAATGAGGTGGGAGGCAAGCTCAGATCTGGAACTAAGTGAAAATGCTTCCATGTGTTCTCAAACCTTCTCTAAATTAATCATTTTATTTTCATGTGCCAAGCTGCAGAAAGAAAATGATGCACATTTCAAATGCTCACAAAATAAATAGTCAAACTCAATCTGGATATTTTTCAGAGATTGATTTTTTCCAAGGATGTCATAAGTAATGGAAATCTCTCAAATAAATGGCCATCCAAACCTTACCTGGCTCTTTACTCACTGCTGTTTCCGTCACCAAAATTGTGTCCTGTCTCCCAAGCCCTACTCTTCCTGACATACTCTCACACATTCATCAATAGCCTCAGCCAGCACAAAACCACTTTCCTTGATAAACCTTCTCTGCTTTCCCTTCTGTAGCCATTCCCCTGGGTCCTAATAGCTCTTCTTCCATACCTCCCACTGAAAGCTTGTATTTTATATTATCTGTCCCTGTCACTTGATTGAACTTTTGGAGGGTGGAGCCTGTCTTTTACATCCTCCCATCTCTATTGTTTATCATGGAAACCAACATGAGCTCATGCTTTGTTGAATGAATTCATGAATGCACATGGAATCCATGTTCATTGCCGAGTAATGAAAAGTCTCTGAAAGACGTATTGCTAAGAAAACTCATCTCTAAGGCAACAGCAATACCTCTCTCTGCTCACAATTGGTCTTTCTTATTTCTCACATAATTCTGCACCTTATCCCATTTCCAGTCAAGGCAAGCTGGTACTCCTAATGCAATGGAATTTAACAACCTTGCACATGCTAGCCAAGTGCTTTACCAGTGAGCTACATCACCAACAAGAACATTAATCTTTTTGTCTAGCTTAATTTCAGGGCTATTCCAAATCCTTCTCTGTTTAGAATGGTTCTGCTCAAAACATCCTGGAGCCAGGGACCAACAGAAAATTAGCAGTCTCATAATTTCCAAAAGAGTCTAAATTTACAAAATGTATTTGTTCTTTGGAAAATTAATAAAGATGGAATTCTTAAGAGTTTGTGTGTGTGTGTATGTGTGTGTGTGTATGTACATGTGCATGTGCACGCACGGTTCCACCTCTGGCTTTTTAGTGGTTAATTGGTAATAAAAATCTCACAGACTTTTCTGCCTGGGCTGGTTTCAAACTATAATCCTCAGATACCAGCCTCCTAAGTAGCTAGAATTATTGGAATGAGCCACCAGTGCCCAGCCAAATCTTTGAGTTCTTGAGAAAGGAAATCACAGACTCCAGCCTCCTTATGTAGTTTGGATCCTGGCTGCCTAAGCTAAGGCCATATACAGTCCAGTCAGGTCTGACCACTGACCCAAAGACTCATGGGAAAGAATAAGTCAGAAAGAAAGTGAATCTTGAGTTCTTATGGAAATCAATTTGGAATACTCAGAAATTGAAATTTAAGAACATTGGCCTTTATTATTTTTTGGAAGGGTCTTGCACATGCTAGCCAAGTGTTCTACCACTGAGCTACATCACTAACAAGAACATTAACCTTTTTGTCTAGCTTAATTTCAGGGCTATTCCAAAACCATCTGTGTTTAGATCACTTCTGCTCAAAACATCCTGGAGCCAGGGAACAACAGAAAATAGAGGATTTAATGCTTCAACGGATTTGAAAATGTAAGGTTCTTGAGTCTTCAATATTTTATTTGATCCTCATAACAAACCAGGAAAGAAGACAAAGGACTGGAGATGCAGCTCAGTAGTAGAACTTTTGCCTGGCATGCAGAAGACCCACCATTTAAAAAAATGAGGAGGAGAAGCAATAACAACGAAGGAGAGAATTTCCAGAATGTTGTACAGATTTTGGAATAATACCATAAAAAGAAAAAATGAATACAGGTTTTAAACTGTAAAGTGGAAAGATATATAGACATGTTTTAAATAGTAAAATAAATATGAGCCAGGAAGTATGTTAAATATTAGTAAGGATAGGAGAAAGATTTGCATCCTTTTATGAAGTATTTCCAGTTTTGAATTATGTGTATATATTGCCAAAATTTATAAACTATGAAACATAGGATAAATATGAATAGTACAAACTTGCTATGAGAATATTATTTTCAGATTACTTCACATGATATCCTTATGAAATGATATGCCAAAATTGGATTTTCATTTGTTTTCTGAATATGATTAATGTCTTGTTTTGGATTATATTTAGAAAAAAAAGACAAGGGTAGCAATTACAATCCATCTAGCCAAAGAATGGTAGACTGATTTGCATGAAGTCATTGAGCACAGAATAAGGCCTACTCTGAGCTTGTTGTTTTGGGATTTAAACCATATCATTTTGTTCTTATGTATATGACTGGTCTTCCAAACTACAGTATAAACTCTCTCAGGAAGTGTTGGAGTAATATTTCCCATGTGTGCCATTACACCTCAATGTCTAAGGACTCAATACAATAAAATACAATGGGTTGAACTAAGCCACTCATGTGTGTGTGTGTGTGTGTGTGTGTGTGTGTGTGTGTGTATGCATGCTAGTCCTAGGGCTTGAACTCAGGGCCTGGGCACTGTCCCTAAGCTTTTGTGCTCAAAGCTAGTACTCTACCACTGGAGCCACACCTCTACTTCTGGCTTTTTAATGGTTAATTGGAGATGAGTCTCGTGGACTTCCCTGCTGTGGCTGGTTTCAAACCATGATCCTCAGATCCCAGCCTCCTGAATATCTAGGATTGTAGGCATGAGCCACAAGCACCTGACTCTAACTCACTTTTTTTTTTCTTTTGGTCATGGGTCTTGAACTCTGGGCCTGGGTGCTGTCCCTCAGCTTTTCAGCTCAAGGCAAGCACTGTACTACTTAAGCCACAGTGCCACTTCCGTATTTTCCTGTTTTCCAGTGATTCATTGGAGATAAGAGTCTCATGGACTTTCCTACCTGGACTGACTTTGAACTGCAGTGCTCAGAACTCAACCTCTTAAGTAGCTAGGATTACAGGCGTGAGCAACCAGCTCCCGGCTCTAAGTCACCCTTAAACGTTAGTTCTTGAGCACCAGTCCCTTCTTCTATGTGGGTAGCTGCAATGGAAAACCTCGTAGTAAACACAAGCTAGTTCCTTTTGGGCATCCATCTTGGTAGCAAGCCAATATAATTATAAATCGTTTTCCTGCCTTTCTAAGTGACTCAACTGTCTAGTCACTGATTTGATCTAGTTCCCTCTTTTCTGTGATGCGAATACATAGGTTGAGAGGATAATAACTAGATCAGTCGTCCCAACCTAACCATGTTTAATGAACTGGTTAGTCAATACAAGTTGAGCCCTTTTCCCCTCCTTTTTGTACTTCCCAGCCCCAGGACCTGCAGACAGGTGCTAAGACCCCATTTCCTTCTCAGACATTGGAAGAACCCCTGCTCCAAAAGCAGAAACCATACCTTCCTCATTACAAATTTTATTTCTCCTGGCACAAAGTAGACACTCAACAAATACCCAACAAAGGAACTGCTCCAAACTCATTTTAAGAGAAGATATGATTTACCCAATGTTACAAAATGAATATACAGATTACTTAATTCTCAACAATGGGTGTGGGCCCCTTTCCTAAATAGTACTAGCATTTTAGGGGAGTTGAACTCCCGTACTTTCCTGCTTGAACCCTTTGGCTAGTCCAGCATTAGCACTTTTAAGTACCCTCCTGCTTCCATTTGAAAGAATGACTTAATGGTAGGTAAAGGAAACAAATTGACAGCTCCTCTAGCTAAGTGGCTATAACTGGAAGTTCCCCCTAGAAGTTACTAGTGATTATTTATTGGGACAGTGGGTTGGTTATCTCATTGTAACATTCAGACATAGGGACACCTGGTAGTTAGATCATCTACTGTTGTAATTTTGGCAGTATTATTGCTTTGGCAATTATTTCTATATGTTTCATGAGTGATTTACCTTGTAGGTAAATAGGACATGTCTCTATTTCCTAATAATAAAAGAAGACGAAAGATATTTATTCCCAAAGACTTATTTGGCATAGTTCACTCAAGTGTTCTAAGCTGTTCTAAGGAGGGGTGGAGAAGGCAGGAAAAAAATGTTCATACCTAACACAGTCACGTTGATGATGCCTTGGTTTATGCCGACAAAATCTGGTGGGTTGTTAACATCGCAGATATAAATTCCACTGTCTGATGCCTGCATATCCGAGATAGTAATAGACGCATTACCTGGATCAGTGGACCCTACAATTCGATCTTTAAATCGCCCCATGGCTGAAGCTTGTCCACCTTCAGAATAGTAAATCTAAGACAGAAAAAAAAAATAACAGAAATGAGAAGTGGAGAGTATCCAGAACAAGAATAAGCTACCTGAAATTTCCTTCTGTTCACATTACCTTTAATAAGAAGCAGTATATTTCCTCCACACCAAACAGTTTCCTGAGGCCAAGATTCAATTCAGTAGGACATTTAATTTTTGTACCATTATTCTCAGACATTACCTCATTTGCCTCCAGGCAGCTCTGTGATGTCATCAGGGCAGGGATTGGTATGCCAATCCCTTCAAATTTACTCCCTTCACTTTACAGAACAAACTGAAGCCCAGAAAAATGTTTGAAATGCACACAAAATGAATAGTTGAGATAGGAGTGTAACGCAGCTCACCTCATTCTTCGTCCAGTGTTACTTTCTTAATTGGCCAGTTAAAGATAGAAAATAATCAGAACTAAACGCATTGCCTAGACAAATTCAAATGTCTACAGGAGGGGACAACTAGAGCTGAGAGAAGCTCCTAAACTTGGGTCAGGAGATTAAGATGCTCCCTCTTGAGTCTACATGGGGGAAACTCTTCATATAGAACACAGATGTCCAATGGGCAATTCATCTTGTTGTTGGTGGTGATGGTCATGGGGTTTGAACTCTGGGCCTGGGCACTGTCCCTGCACTCTTCAGCTCAAGGCGAGTGGTCTACCGCTTGAGCCACAGTGCCACTTCCAGATTTCTGGTGGTTAATTGGAGATAAGAGTTTCATGGACTTTTCTGCCTTGGGCTGGCTTTGAACCACGATCCTCAGGTCTTGCCTCCTGCATAGGTAGGATTACAGGCATGAGCCACCGGTGCCCGGCTTCAATTCATCATTTTTTAAACTATTTTATAAGCTGGTTATTCGAATTAATATAACTTACTGAGACCATCTGGTTTTCCAAAAGTTAAAACCCATATGTTCTTTAGGCAAGCAAACTTGGATTTATTCTGTTTGAACTATATGGTTTCACAGCAGAAACTTCTCTGTGAAATCACCAGGTGCCATCCTCTCTTAGTGGTGTTGTGAGGAAGGAACATGACCCAGCAACAATGTAGGAGGTCCTTAGTCAATCTTTCTCCCCATGTCAAATAAGAGAATTTAGACCCTAAGAGACTGAATAACTTATCTGAAGCCATAAATATTCATTTGATATTATTGTTAGAATTTACTACACTTAAGAAAGATCTGGATTCTGGGCTGGGAAGGTGGCTCAGTGGTAGAGCGCTTGCCTTGCATGCCTGAGGCCCTGGGTTCGATTCCTCAGCACCACATAAGCAAAAAGAAAAAAAGCTGGAAGTGGCGCTGTGGCTCAAGTGGTAGAGCGCTAGCCTTGAGCTGAAGAGCTGAGGGACAGTGCCCAGGCCCAGAGTTCAGGCCCCACGACCGGACCCAAAAAAAAAAGAAAGAAAGAAAGAAAGAAAGTTCTGGATTCTAATCCTATCTCCATTAAAGAACCTTAGATCTTAATGGCAACTGTGAGAACAGCATGATATGATAGAAAGTGACCTCATCTAGGAGTCAAATGACCTGGGTTTTGGCCATAACTCTGTCTCTGACTGTAACAGGTGTCCTCTAGTCATGCCTCCATGGTAACCTGCTTTGTGATAAGAAACAAAGATATTTAATCTCTCTAACCTTTAGTTTTCACGTATGAACAAGGAACCAGAACAATGTTTCCCAAAGTATGAAAATGCCTTTAGGTGGTATCTAAAATCAAACCTATTAATTTTAATATATTTTAGAGAGATGTATCTAGAACAAAAAAATGTGGCTTCATGAATAAGTATTGCTTACATGAGACTGCATTGTTGGTAGGAGTGTAAACTGGTTCAACCACTTTGGAAAGTAATATGGAGGTTCCTCAAAAGACTTCACATAGAGCTCCCTTATGACCCAGCAATCCCACTTTTGGGCATTTACCCGAATGATCACAAACAAGACCATACTAAAGCTACCAGCACAACTATGTTTATTGAAGCATTATTTACCATAGCTAAGATATGGAACCAACCCAGATGCCCCTCAGTATATGAATGGATCAAGAAAACATGGTATGTATATACAATGGAATTCTATGCCTCCATCAGAAAGAATGACATTGCCCCATTTGTTAAATGGGAAGACTTGGAAAAAATTATATTAAGTGAAGTAAGCCAGGCCCAAAGAAACAGGTCCCTTATTTGCAATAAGTAGTATATGTCTGAGACAAGCAGAAATGGTCAGATAACTTGATGCTAAGCTCAGGTTAGCTCTCTTTTATTCTGATTTTTAATGACATCACAGTAAGATGCATGGGCCATACCAGAGATCCACATAAATCCCAGGGGATTCAGATGGAAAGACCTTTTTTCTACAAAGATCAAAGGACAATGAATGTGTTTTGGACCAGGAGTAGGATATGATATGCAAGACAATCTCTTTATTAAGAGTTAATCAAGTAAAATTAACAAATATGCAGTGAGACTCTGACCCTATAACTTTACCCATGGAAAGAACTTCACCACTTTTTACCCCTGCTTGCTACACTTCACTTGAATCAATTTTCCTTCTCATAAGTGACACTAAGAGGGTAAAGAAGGATTGCAATGGAAACATAAAAGAGAAAGGCTTTATTCCCAGAGTGCTCTATGTGAAGGAAAGTCCCCAGTGCTACAAGCAGCCAGACACATCAATGGAGGGGATTTCTTTTTTTTCTTTTTGGTCCGGTCCTGGGGCCTGAACTCTGGGCCTGGGCGTTATCCCTCAGCTCTTCAGCTCAAGGCTAGCGCTCCACCACTTGAGCCACATCACCACTTCCGGCTTTTTTCTTTTTGCTTATGTGGTGCTGAGGAATCGAACCCAGGCCCTCAGGCATGCAAGGCAAGCGCTCTACTACTGAGCCAACTTCCCAGCCCAAATGGAGGGGATTTCTGTTAGGGGAAGTTCATTTTGTTGTACTGTCCTTGTAAAGAAAAAAACAACACAGGGCTGGGAAGGTGGCTCAGTGATAGAGTGCTTGCCTTGCATGCATGAGGCCCTGGGTTCGATTCCTCAGCACCACATAAGCAAAAAGAAAAAAGCCAGAAGTGGTGCTGTGGCTCAAGTGGTAGAGCGCTAGCCTTGAGCTGAAGAGCTGAGGGACAGCGCCCAAGCCCAGAGTTCAGGTCCACGACAGGACCCCCCCCCAAAAAAATAAGAAAAGAAAAAGAAAAAAGCAACACAGAACTATTTCCCTGAAACTGCTTATCAAGTTACAGAGGAAGGACTCCAACTGGGTTCCATTTCACACAAAATAATAATTCTTAAAAATTCAAAACTGAACAATGGCTACGGTCCAATCTATAATAGATAGTGTATATACTTTTCAAAAACAATCATGTCAATGTAGAGATCAAAGAGAGTAAAGGCCAGGAAAAGTTGAGATGTTCAATAGGCTATATCACAAGTTGAGATGAGTACAGTGCTGCTTTAAGAAAATCCATGCAAATCTTCCCTTAAGAAGTACTTAATCCCCCCTACACACACACACTTACCCCTGTTTACTCCCAATGCTCTCTCTGCCACCCTCTTGGTAATGTTAGAGGCTGATGAGTAGAGTCACAAAAGCACATTAATTATAAGAGTCTCTTCACAATCATTTTATAGTTCAGGATTTCTAGGGTTAAGGAGCCTTCTGAAATCAGATGGATATTAGAAATATGGGAAATGGCTGAGAAGGATTAGTGAGGAGTGATAGCTTCCTAAGTGGTAGTGGGAACCATGGTGATCTGGAGCCAGTCCAACCCAGGGAAATAAACAAAATGCTAGGCTGGCCAACCAAAATGCATCCACTGGCCAAATCCAACCAAGAGGTTTCCAATTTGAAAACTGATTCATTCTTGTCTACCACAGAGAAGGACAATGAGGCCCCAATGAGGAAGTGATTTTTCCCAAGGCCAAACAATTGACCTTGGAAAATTGATGAGACCTGGATTCCAGGTCTCCAGGTCTCCTTATTTCCACAGAACATGTTAAGAGAGCATTCTTGGTCCTGAGACAATGAGGATAGCATTCCTTCTATTTGGGGCCCTTCCATCCCCTGTTTTATTCTGACCATCCTCCTGTTAATTGCCTGATTCTCCCCATGCTGAGCAGGTTTACCACATGATGCTCCTGACACTTGCCAGCTGCACTGCAGGCTCCCAGGCTCTTTTGCAGAGCAGCCTCTTCCCTCCTACCATGCCAAGTTCCTAGTCACACAAGGCTGTGCAGCTGGGAGCCAGATTTTTCCTAAAACATTGTTTCCTCAGCTTTCTGCCACTGCTCCCAACTAGAGGCTTGGTGCATAAAAAAAAAAAAAAAAAAAGAAGAAGAGTTGGAAGAATTTCATCTGCTTTCAATTTGACTGGGAATTGGAGATACAAAATGTTTTTAGCTTCCAGAAGAGCTTCTTGGATCCCTTTGGGAGATGTAGAAGGCATGGAAGTCCATAGCAAACTACCTATTCTTTCCCTTCCAGCTTCTTGTTTTCTGGTGCTGCTCATAAAGGATCTAGCCATGGGGTAAAAGGTGGCACAGATAATGAAACCTATATTCCCTGGTCCATACTATGACAGCTGAATTGCACATGGAAGGAGCAGAATATCATGAGAAATGTTCTGTCCACAAAGCACCCTCTGACCAGCCTGCCATTTGACAGTGCTACCCACTATCTCAGTTTCTAGTTTGTACTACTTTTGGTTGAAGTAACGGAAGACCCATGCTTAAGTGCATTTCTTTGGAAGAGAACAAGATAGACTATTGCCACTCCCTTACATTGGGTTAATTTTTACCAGAGTTAGCAAGTATAGACAATTGTGAGGATGGGACACAGAAATGATATGCTTAGGGGGAGAGGGAATAATTAGTCTTTCTCAACAAAGGTGAGTAACACTGGCATTTAGGCTAGACAATTTGTTATATGGGTCTGCTGTGTGTATCACAGGGCATTCAGCATCTCTAGCCAGCACACACTAAATGTCAGTAAGGGCACCTAGTCTCAGAAATCAAATATCTCCATTTTCAAATGTTGCTCAAGTGATGAACCACTCAACACAGACATGTGTTTAACATAAAAAGGGTATAGACCAAGTTGGAAAATCTAAGATATCAGGGAGCATGAAGACACTAGACCATGGAGAAGAAGTTGTACAAATTATGTGTGTGTTAGGGATAACGAAGAAAAGACTAACACTAGACAAGGTCAATGTATGTCCTCTTCATGAGCAAGTGAAATCTCTGTAGTTTTACCAATAACAGAGTGGGTAGAAGAAGGGGCATTTGTGTGACTAGAAGAGCACCAGACAACTATACCACCCAAACCTCAAGTACACTGGAGATTCCTTGCTGAGAAACTGGGTGTCTGAAGCAGTTCCTATTTCCTGAGAGGGAAATTTATCTGAGAAAAGGGTCATGCTAGTGATGATCTTGACCTCACCCTCAGAAGACTTGTGAGATACTTCTGTGGTCTACATTCACCCTAGGAGAGTACATTCAACATAACGTATCATCTGCCCAGAGAACTGAAAAACATCCAAGCCTAAGAGTCAATTGCAACTTTAACACAATAATTGTGGGAGGAACTATGTGGAACTGGTCACTGCCCTAATCAGAGCAGCAGCAGCAGGGCTCTGTATCATTGCTAGGAGGCTAAAAGAGTTCCAGACCTGGACATGAGAAAATAAACACAAAATCTTCCAAAATCTTTTGCTAGATGTATTGCCATACACATATAATTCTAGCACTTCTAGGGAGTGTAATTCTCCATCTAGGGAGATGGAGTCAAGAGACTGTAAGTTGGAAGCCAGCCTGTGCTACCTAGTAAGATCCTGTCTCAAGAAAACCAAACCAAATCAAACGAAAAACAAACCAAACTTTCCCTACTTTGTCAAGAGTTTATGCCAATCTATCCCCTTCCTATAGCTACTTCCAGTCTCCTAAAGACTGCAAACAGTGAAGGAGTCTAGTACCCCAATCAGTGTTCTTACCTGAGAAGTCCAGCTACATCTTCCCCGAGCGTCTCTTGCATGCGCCATTTTTAGACACTGACTGACTGTCTTTTCCTCCATACCCTCAGTACTGAGGCACGGGCCATGCTGTGTTTGAGCAGAAATGGGTGGATCTGAGAGCCAAACACTACATGGTATACTGCCACATCAACCCAGGAGTTGAATTGAATCACTCAGTGGTCTGCCTGGCAACATCTTACTCCCATAAATCACAGAATTGTCTATCAACACAGCAGTCTCTTGAACATTCTCAAAATGTCCCACCAGCAATCCCTAGATTAATGCACAATATGCTCTACAGACTTTGAGGGCACAGAAATGCTAAAAGAGAGAACAAGCTTAAAATACAAGGCGAATCGTGGTTTGAAAAAAAATAATATAACTGAGCATGTGTGCCACCCATTGGCAAAGCAGGCTCTGTTCCAGAGATGAGAAGTAATAGAGAAAAGATATGGGCTCCCCCTCCAGCCATAGAGACCTGGCAGGCAGTGGAATTAGAAGCCAAACTTTGGCCAGGCAAGTCCTAAAGAGCTTGATCTCAGCTGTTCAGTTAAACTGTATGTATCTTATTGGGCTGAGTTCCCTAGTACACATAATTCAATTCCTCTGGTATAGCAGGAGCGTGAGTGGGATAAGAATTTTGAAAAACCACATTTTGTGAGTGGTGATGCTCATTATACTAGCTCATATTCACTGAATGCTTACAAAGTCAAAGGCTTCCTAGTCCTTCACAATCATGATTTCATTATTTCATTAAAATTATGAGATAGGTGAGTGTTTTTATTTTCCATATAGGAAAACAGAACCTCTAAATAATTTTAGTAACTTGTCTAAGGCCGTCAAGCCAGAACTAGTATCCATCCAGAGGTTTCCACTAGGGCTACCAAACTGAAGCACATGCCTGCAGGTTATGGGGAAAGAGGGGAAGGAATCTGGTTATCTAGACATAGAGACCTAAAGAGGATTGTAATAGCGGTCTAGGTAAGATTAAGCACCAGAGTAAAGCAGGAGGAGGAGAAACTCTGTCTTTTGAGAGTTATTTTTATAGGCTGTTTTCAAGCCAAGAGAAGGTCCTACTTTGCTATGTCATCCATGTGGCCAAGATACAGGCAAAGCACAGGTCTCATTCAGCTGGAACATGTTCTACATGAGACAGTAGCTCAGTGCAGAGGCCTTCAAATGATTTGGACAACCCAAAAGAGTAACTATCTGTATCCAACATTCTGAAGAAATAAGCAAATAGCAAGTAAAACAAGACATTCATTTATCATTATTTGTAAGTCAAGTTTTCCTTCTAAATCTTTTCAAGAGAAGTCCTGAGCTGAAGCCACACTCAATTCAATCCATTCTACTTCTTCCCAGACAATCCTAAGTCTAGTAAAAGCTTTTTGTTGGTTACAAAATCTTCCCACCCTGCAGCTCCCTCCCAATCCTTTGCTAGCTATAGAGTTAAACCAGGAGATGGCCCTGGATATTGGTATCAAAGGAGGTATATATAAGAATTTATTCCTTATGAACTCAGACTGGCTTTGCCTGACCTCCAGGAAGTTGAGCACATCTTGATCTGAATTTCAGGCATAAGACATTTCGGTATATGTTGGAAAGGTCTTTTTAGATTCATGTGCTACTGGAAGAAATGAGAAGGATTTCAGAGCTATAGATAAAGAATGTGTCAAAGACACTAATCAGGAAATCAAAATTTTGAAAGAATGAGAGATCATGTGATTATTGCCATCCACCCTCAAAAGTGATCATTTCATGCAAGGCCTTGGGTCAGGACATTTTGAGTAATGGAATCTGATAGAATTCTTCTAGTAATTGTTACTGGTGTTACCAATGCTACTGTTGGTCTAATGGTTTTTACATGGATAAAATTTACAGGGATTTATATTCTTAATGTTTTCACATGTGTATGCCAATTGATTCCCCACGTCATTCTACTGTATTTTAAATAGGTACAGAGTGATTCAAATATTTGTCAAAGAAAATCAGCAGTGAGCAAAACTGTTTAACTTTGATGAAAGATTAGCATCAATAGAGTCTCCCTCAAATGATGTTTCCCACTAACCAGATGTTCAAAATCTCCCATAAAGAGAGGACTCAGTACCTGGAAAGGGCCAGTGAGAGGTAAAATAACGCTATCCAAGGTGTGACTCCTCCAAGCTAATGCTTTCATTGTCCTTCACCTCTGTTTCTAGGCCTCCTGAATCCCATTCAGCTTGTTCTCCCTTTCTTTCTACTAACCTTTTCTTTCCTTCAAAGTTCAAGTCAGTTATATCTGACTCTCCCAGCCACACTGATTGGTCTCTTTTCAAAACTCCATTTGGGATCAGGTATCATTTTGAGAATCTGATATAAGCTTTAGGCCTTTTACCTCAAGGGATGTGTATAGGCAAGCATATTGTATATGCTCACATACATATGTGAAGGCATCCACACACACGCTTTTAAGGAATCATAGGGTTAATTCATAGAAAGAATTACCCTCAATGTCAGAAGATGGCAGCCTTTCTTTGGGATCCTTTTACCCTTCTATCCTTCTCCCACTTTCTTCTATCAAACTCTTTCCCCAGACACTTTGCTAACACACCCCATCATCTCACCTCTAACTTCACTACCGTAGTCCCTCTCTGTCAGTCTGGGAAATTCTATTCAGGACTCCTTCTGGCACAATAAGTCAGTTAACTTGACAAGCAGATGCCAAAAATTGTTAGACCAGATCAGTTAGGACTAACATTTAAACTGGAGTCATCTGGAAATAAGGAGCCAACTGTAATGGGAGTTCTTTCAGAACTACTTTTTATTTCACTATGAAAAGGGACACTTCTATCTACTCTGGAATACATAAACTACATAATGCTGACCTACATGGAATTGAGACAACAGGTATAAATAAATATGAAGAGAACACAATGGCCAAGTCAGTAAGCTGATGGCCTTCACTAAATACCTGTCTTCAAACTCTATAATTCGGGTTTTGTAACTGTTCACTATCATACCATTCCTTCACACACTTACCTCAATAGTTTTCAGTTAGAACTACCAAAGAGGAAGAGTTTAGGAACAAAATTCTTACAGAAATTGGCTGCATCTCCTTCTGATGGAAGAAAGACCACTGGATGGAGAGCTTGTCCCGAGAGGCTACAGTGGTGGTGTAGATGCAGATGAGAGTGACATCCGCTCCAATAGTCACATTCACATAAGCATCTGGGATGGTCACTTGTACCATACTGGCTTGACCTGAAAAGATAATCATCAGAAAACAATGGTACACATTCACATTTTGATAACATTAATTTATTTTACCACAAAACACTTCCAGAGATATTACTTGAGAGAATCCGTGGTGATGAGGAGATGGTAGAATGAAAAATACAGAAAACCTGAGCAGGCAATAGGTGCAGGAAGAGAAATTTCAAACAAGTTACAATGTGGAGATACAAATCCTAGGTGAGATAATAGCTCTAAATTGGAGATTCCTTCTGTATAAAGTCCTTACACACAGGTTCTTAGAGTCTTGTCTATCAACAACAAAGATCGATGATGTAGAGAAAAACCAGTTCTTCTCAGGAACAAGAAGGTTCCTTGAATGTGTGACCTATGGTTTTAAAACTGTCTCTTCTGCTTGTCCTAGACATATACTAATTATTGCAGATAAGGGAAACCATGGGACTTATGTTTCTTTGGGTCTGGCTTACTTCACTTAATATAATTTTTTCCAAGTCTTTCCATTTCCTAACAAATGGAGTGGTGTCATTCTTTCTGATGGAGGCATGGAATTCCATTTATATATATATATATGTATATATATATATATATATATATCACATTTTCTTGAGAGCTATGTACATATGACCATATAAGCTGATGTTAAACAAAATGAGCCACAAGATAGGGGCACAAGAGATTTTATCTTTCTTGCTGTTCGTTTTAATGTACTTATAATGTACTATGTAATTTTTTTTGTTTCTTTGTATGTTCTTCCCCCGTGGTATAACCCCTGTTTTCACTGTATTTGATTCCTGTGCTCTGCATGTTGTATATACATTTTTCTAATTTGAGAAGGGAAGGGAAATAACAAAATGCTGAAATAAAGATACAGATGACCCATTGTAACAATGAGATGTACAAGACACTATGTTGAAAATGAACTTTACACCCTTGGGGGAGTAGGAGTTGGAGAGGTGGGGACGAAAAGGATGGTAGGGGAAAAATAAAGGAGAGGGTAACAATGTTCAATAGAAAATGGACTCATTATCTTGCTCATGTAACTCTAACCCCTCTGTACAGTATCTTTTATATATATATATAGTGTATATATATATATATATATATACATATATATATATATATATATATATATATATATAAACTAATTCTCAAAATAGTTTTCTCTGGCTTTCAGGGCTGAAACAAGGAAAATCTCAGGCAAACTGGGGTGATCTGATCTCTAACACCATGCATGGGGTGGGACATTGAAAGATCAACATTATATTCATAAAAAATAATAGCCCCACATTAATTTTCTTTTGCACTCTCATCCTCTAATGAGGATACATGAGTATACAAAATCGACATGACTAATAGTAATGTCAGTCCTCTTTCTAATGTTTAATACAATATATTCTTATATACATTTTTAACTTTTTTCCATTTTAATTTCCCAGTAAATATAGCTAGAAATAACGCACATACAGGAAATGTTTGTGAGATGCTTAATAATTTTTTGGTCTGTGCTAGATTGAACATAAGGCCTTGTGCATGCTACGCAAGCTCCCTAACACTAGGCTCTATTGCCACCCCTCTGTTACTGATTTCTAGTTTGATCCAATTACGATCAGAGAACATATTTCTTATTATTTCAATTATGTTTCACTTTAATTAACTATATTAATTACATTTTAATTTTAATTATTTTCAATTATATTTAATTTTCTTGGGTTTTATGGCCAAGCTCAAGGTCTTTTTGTGTTAACATTCTATAGTAGCTTGGCATGTTCATAGGTGACATGTTCTATAACAAGAGACAGGATTTTAAAACAATGTGACTAAGCCAATAGAGATGCTATTCACAATAGTTCACTTTCTTTTGATATTCTGTCTAATAGAGTTATTAGTTTCTGAGTTTTTGATATTCTTTACTATATCTGTGGATTTTCCTCTTTCTCATTTTAACCCTACCAGTTTTGTTTGAATCTGCTGTTTTATGTGGTCACATGAAGAATCATTAGGCTCTCCTGTTGGATTGAGTCTTTTATCTTTAGGGAATGTGTATGCAGTGTGTGTGTGTGTGTGTGTGTGTGTGTGTGTGTGTGTGTGTGTGTTGTAGTAGTAGTAGTAGTAGTAGTAGTAGTAGTAGTAGTAGTAGTAGTTTCCTTTGTTCTTAAATCTACTTTATCAGATATATAGCTACCCTAGGTTTTAGAAAAATGTTTATACAGTATATATTTTTCAATCCTTTTTACATTCAGTCTACTTATATTTTTAAATTTAATGTGAATTTCTTTGGATCTATATAATTGTAGTTATAGCCAATGTGACTGCATTTAATAAGTAATTATTGGAAGGTTAATTCCTAAGTATGCCATTTTATTATTTGTTTTCCATTTGTTTCCTTTGGTTCCTGCCTTCTTATTGGTCACTTGAACATTTTTATGCCAACAATATTCATCTATGTATTAATATAAGTATCTTTGTGTAGCTTTCATAGTGGTTGCTCTGGGCTTTACAATATTAATATGAGTCATAACAGTCTATCAGTATCACTATTTCACCACTTTGAGAAAAGTATACAAATCTTTCTTTCATTTAAGTCCATTTACCTTCTCTACTTCTAATTTTTATTCTTCTGAATATAAGAATGCTATTGGAGCTGGGAAGTTGGCTCAGTGGTAGAGTGCTTGCCTTGCATGCATGAGGCCCTAAGTTCGATTCCTCAGCACCACATAAGCAGAAAAAGCTGGAAGTGGTGCTGTGGCTCAAGTGGTAGAGCGCTAGCCTTGAGCTGAAGAGCTGAGGGACAGTGCCCAGGCCCAGAGTTCAGGCCCATGACCTGCAAAAAAAAAAAAAAAAAGAATGCTATTGGGATTTTCTGGTATTGTTTTTGTTTTGTGGTGGTCCTGGGACTTGAACTGAGGGCCTAGGCATTATCTCTGAGCTTTGTTTTGCTCAAGACTACTGCTCTACCACTTGAGCTCCATTTCCAGTTTTTTGTTTTTGTTTTTGTTTTTTGGTTAATTGGAGATAAGTCTCAGGTCTCTGACTTCAAATCACGACCCTCAAATCTCAGCTTCCTGAATATCTAAGATTACAGTTGTGAGCCACCATTGCCCAGCTAGAATGATATAGTTTTTGTTTCAATCCTCACATGATTTGTGAAAAAAAAAAGTGAAAAATATGTTGATGAACTCAGTCACAGAACAAAAATGACAAAAAATGGAATTTATATCTGGTGAAACTATTCTTTGAGAATTAAAAAAAACAGATTCCCCATCAACAGAAAACAAAAGGATTTGTAACTTACTAAAATACACTTAAGGAATTACATCAAACATAAAGGAAATTACTAGATAAGCTCACCTAACCCTGTAACATTACCTACTTCGGAGGCAGGTGTTAGGGGATCACAGTCCCCGGCCAGCCTGGGCAAAAAAATGGTCACGAGACTCCATATCAGCCAAAGGCTTGGTTATAGTGAGCACCTGTTATCCTAGCTACAAGGGAAGCACAATAGCGAGGCATAGTGACACATACCTATCATCCCAGAAATAAGGGGAAGCACAAGTAGAAGGATTGTAGCCCAGGTGGGCTTGGGCATAAAGTGAGATCCTACCTTGAAAACTAAGGCATGACTCAAGTGGTATAGTGCTTGTCTAGCAAGTACAAGGCCAGTTCAATCCCCAGTACTACACAGACATACAGATAGATGATAGATGGATAGATGATAAAGTAAATGATAGAATAAAGGTTCTTGTAGCATGAGGAATACAGAAGGAAAAGATGACTATATACTATAGACAATGTTGAAGAAGCCAGACACCATCTCTACCTGCCATATCAATAACTAGAGAAATAATACAATGATGAGGAAGCCAGACACTATCTCTGCCTGCCATATTAATGCACCGGGAAGCCATTTATAGCACAGACCAAAATGGAGGGAAATGATAATCAACAACTTGAGAATGACAACTGGTTCAAATGTTTTCCATTATATTTTAAAATAACATTTTATTTTAAAATTAAAACATACATGGGCTGGGAAGGTGGCTCAGTGGTAGAGCACTTGCCTTGCATGCATGAGGCCCTGGGTTTGATTCCTCAGCTCCACATAAGCAAAAAGAAAAAAGCCGGAAGTGGCGCTGTGGCTCAAGTGGTAGAGCGCTAGCCTTGAGCTGAAGAGCTGAGGGACAGCACCCAGGCCCAGAGTTCAGGACCCACAACCAGACCCAAAAATAAATAAAAATTAAATTAAATTAAATTAAAACATACAAATGTATTAACTAATTTGAGATCTGCAAACTTAGTAATATCACATTAGATTTCAAATTGGAACTTCAAATTTTAAAGTGAGACAACATATATTTTTAGCTATTCTTTTCCTGCTCAAATTCCCAATACTCATCTATAATTCATTCTTTTTTTTGTATATGTGTGCCAATCTTGGGGCTTGAACTCAAGGCTTAGATACTGTCCCGGAGCTTTTTTGCTCAAAGCTAGTGCTCTATCACTTAAGCCACAGCTCAACTTCCAGGTTTTTTTGGTGGTTAATCGGTGCTGTGTCTCACAGTCATTTCTACACAAACTTGCTTTGAAATGTGATCCTCTTATCTCAGCCTCTTGAGTAGCTAGGATTACAGGTGTGAGCCACTGGTGCCCAGCTTATAATTGATCCTTCATTATAATATATTTGGTTACTGTAGCAGTAGTTAATATTGAACTCAGGGCCTTGTGCCTGTTAGGCAGGAACTGTACCACTTATAGGGTCTCACTACATTGAAAACCGTGGTTTCAAAATATATTACTTTCAAATGCACAGTATGTACATAAACAATATTAATGTATTTTTCCAAAAGGTAATGACTACATATTAAAAGTGCAATTTTGCAAAAGGATTTTTGTTTAAATTACTTTTCCTGAATAAGAGTTTAAACTATGACCTCTAAGCAGTCATTGAAAACATTTTCACTAAAATATAAAATTCCACCAGGCATTGGTGATTCATGCCTATAGTCTTAGCTACTGAGGTTCTAAGCCAACCCAGGCAGGAAAAGTCTGTGAGACTCTTATCTCCAATTAACCACCAGAAAACTAGAAGTAGAGCTGTGTAGTAGAACACTAGCCTTGAACATAAAGAGCTATCACGCGTGTAATCCTAGCTACTCAGGAGGCTGAGATGTGAGGATCGCAGTTCAAAGCCAGCCCGGGCAGGAGAGACCGTGAGACTCCTATCTCCAATAAACCACCAGAAAACCGGAAATGGCACTGTAGCTCAAGTGGTAGAGCGCTCGCCTTGAGCTGAAGAGCTGAGGGACAGCGCCCAGGCCCAGAGTTCAAGACCCATGGCCGACAAAAAAAAAAAAAAAAAAAGAACAGAGCTCCGGGTCCTGAGTTTCATGACATACATACATACATACATACACACACATGCATACATACATATATAATTCTTTTCTTGGTTTAATCTTAAACATATATACAAAGCTCATTTCTTGATGTCAACACACATTTACTATGTGTCCACCATGTGCCAGGCAGCACGTGTGACACCACTTTACTTTCTCTTTAAAACAAGTACAGATGCAGTATCAAAGTGTACACTGAAAGAAACACTATAAGTTTTTCCACAGCATTACTTGGATCAACTAGGGTCTCCTGAATCACTGAAGTGATCTGATAACTGTAAATGGCAGATATAGCTTACCCAAATCTTCCCTTCTCTGACTTCTCTGCATTTGTAAGCACAGAAGCTGGCAATATATTATAGCCTATTCCCATTCCATCTGCTGGCTTTACACATTTAGATATACAGCATATTTTACACATCAAGAAAAACAGTAGTTTCACCAGATATTCAAAAGTATTGGGTACTCTGATTGGGTCTTGTTTTACAAGTCATATGTAAGAACTCAACAGTATATCATTATTTTTTATTATAAAAATTGCATAAAACTTGTAATCTCCATTTTTAATGTAATAGACTTGCAGAGGAAAACTGTTAAGAAATTCACCCAAATTGAAGTAGTGGTAGGATTTTGGGGAAATTTTATTTTCTTACTTATATATTTTCATGTTTGCAACCTTTCTACAATGATCATTTATTATGTGTGCCTAATCAGCCAGTAAAATTTTTACATAGGCTAATTATTTTTAAAATTATCCTAGTCAGCCACTAGTGGCTCATGTCTAAAATCTTAGCTACTCAGCAGGCTAAGATCTGAGGGTCATGGTTCGAAGCCAGCATAAACAGGAAAGTCCATGTGACTCATCTTCAATTAACCAACAAAAAGCCAGAAGTGTAGCTGTAGCTCAAGTGATAGAACGTAACCTTGAGGGGAAATAAAAACACTCAGGGATAGCACCCAGGCCCTGAGTTAAAGCCATAGGACTGGCATACACATGTTAAAAAAATTACCCTTGCCCACATTCCAAACCCTGTGTCTAACAAAGGCCAGCTTAAGGCTCATTCAAGGAAATAGGTGTTGACTATAGGTATGGTTCCTGAGAGCTGGGGACAAAGCCTGGGCTTAACCCAATTGGCTAAGGATTGGAAGAAGAGACAAAGACTTTAACTACTAAAATTACATTTAAATGAATATTCTATGGGGTAAGAAAAATAGTAATGACCTAAACGTTTTGTTTAGGTCATGAGATGAATGCAATATTGGCTTCTGATGACTTGACTCCTCCCAATACCTGAGTTTAGAAATTAGAAATGAATGTTCAAACAATTGTTACCAACCACAACATAGTTTTGAAAATGAACATTTTTTTCTAATTGTAAAAAATGTATGGGCTCTGGGTTTGATACCCAACACTGAAAAAAATCAATATACAACATTCCTTTATAAAAACAGGAAATTTTGGGACAGAATATCAAAATCATGTAGAAATCTATTGTCTAGAAGTAACCACCATTTGCACATTATCTTTTATTAATTTATTATAGCTGTTTGCGTATCCCACTTTTTCATAATACTTTATCCTAAGCATATTCTTATTCTTATTTCATTAAATATGCTAGTCAATCTCATTTAGGAATATCTATAATTACTGATAACTTAAAATATCCTCTGTGTGTGTGTGTGTGTGTGTGTGCACACGTGCGTGTGTGTGTGTGTGTGTGTGTGTGTGTGTGTGTGTGCCAGTCCTGGGGCTTGAATTCACAGCCTGGGTGCTAGTGCACTACCACTGAGCCACAGCTTCACTTTTGGATTTTTTTGGTGTTTAACTTGAGGCGTGAGAGTCTCACTGAATTTCCTGCCACAGGCTAGCTTTGATCCATGATCCTCAGATGTCAAACTCCTGAGAAGCTAAGATTACACACACTAGCCACCAATTCCCAGCATTAAAATATTCTCCTTTTTTCCGTGCAAGGATAATATTTGTGCCTCTACTTCTAGCTTCCTGGCTGGAATAGAACTTCAGTCCTCTGATCTCAGCGAGAAGCTAGGATTACAGGTGTGAGACATGGATGCCTGGCTTAAAATAGCTTGACAAACACTATTATTGTATCTATCATAGACATAGCCTTATCATAAGGAGAGATTGGTATTTGAAAAAAAAGGCCAAAGATTTTCTGTATTAATCATCTCTCCTGAGTGTAATGTTGGGATTTTAAATTAAAAAAAAATTTATTCTTTGCACATTCTCTACAACCACCCATATTATACACATTGATAAAAAAAAACTCACAAAATATAAAATATAATCTTAGTTTGGAAAAGCACAACTCTCAAGAAATATAATACAATAAAACACTTCACAAATCTCTGTTCTTCCCACATTTATGTCTGGCTCGAACGCAGGCTCTACCTGATGTAACAACAGAATACAATAATCACAAAGAGCTTAGAAGAAACACTGAAGTAAAACAGAAACCTCCCTTGCTGAGAAAATGCATTTGTTCCCCTTTGAAACAACACAATATTATTACAGTCTTGCCTCCCAAATATCAGTATGACACAATTCGCTAAGCAAGAATTCTACAAATGACTCAATATACTAGTCACGAGTCCTTTTAAGCCTAGGAGAGAAAAAAAATTCTATGTAAGAGTTTGTTATTTCAGTCTAAAACAAAACTCCATTTCCAGTTTAAAGTTTCTTTTCTTACCTATAAGGCAGCTTAGGATGAGGAAGAATTTCCAAAATGCAAACACCATCATGTAGAGTTTTTAGTGGAGAGCAACAAGTGCCTGTGTCTCGCCTCGACTAAGTCAAGTCTCCAACTGGCTTCTTCAATCACACCGAGGTTTGCCAGGCTTATCTTCTGGGCATCACGGAGCAAATATGCTTCCTCAGGCTTACTTATTGGGTACAGAGCTTTCTCAGAGCTGCTTTGTGTTTCTTTGCAACAGTTTTCAAGGGGTGTGTCTCTGATATATTTGCTACTGTGTTAATAATAAACCCATGTATTTAAATTCTTCAAGCTCTTTATACACAGATTCTCTGAGTCTCATTGTTTCAACTCAATCTTTTAAAAAATTTTACAAGGAGGGTGAAGACACAGTGTGAATAAAATGCAAATAAAGGCTGACAATGCTAATTAATTTCAAATATTTCCATGAAAATCTTGTAACTGATTTACCTCTTTTCACTAATTAGGCTAGTAAATTGATGATACGATGTTTCCTGGGGAGATGGGGTTTTCAGGAGGGGCACAGGGGATTTGAAGCAAATAAAAAGGATTCATTTCTACACAAACAAAACTGAATATGTCACTTTCTGATTTGAAGACCTGACAATTGTCACTAATCTCCACAAAAATTGACAATAGAATGAATTGCATGCTTTTGTTTCCCAAGTTAGAAACTTTATAACACTTATACCCTACCCTGATTTTATAAAATGATATTAGTAAATAAATGCTTCAAAACTTCCATTAGATTAGTCTGAATTTTTTTTTCAAAATAAGCTCCCTTAGTAGATGGGATAGGGTTTCCTTAGAAGTGGAGGTTTACTAGGAGGGTGGAGAAGACTGCATAGGTGGGGAGCCTTCCTGAGTTCCTCTCAAAATCCAGTTAATGTGAGCAACTTAAAGGCCTTTGATTATTCCCAATCTCTAGATCCTGTTGTTTCCATGTCAACACTCACTCTCACATGGGTCCCTTCCTCAATCTTCTTCTTCCATTGTGATCCAGATACTCAGCACCTCACCTCTGGCTTAACTATAACCGCTTCCTAAATGGTCTACCTGACTTCCTCCTTCATCTTGTGTATCAGTCACAGACCAATATTCTAATTAAATATTCTAAATAAATTAAATTAAATAAATAATATTCTAACAGACCAATGTTCTAATTAAACTTTTTTTCAATAACATCCATTATAGACTTTTCCCAGCAAGTCCAAACTCCTACATCTGCATTCTCAGCCTCCCATGATCTGGTCCTCTCCATGTTTAAACTTTAGCCACATTCAGTTATCCACTTGAAAAATGTTGCCGAGGTTTATCACTCAGTCTTTAGTCACAGGAAATCACACATTTCAAATGATGTGCTTTAATGTACAGGAAATTTTCATTTCTTTTAAATTAAGAACCCACCTTAATGAAGAGAAGCTAATTTCCTCTTGATTGTCTTTTTCACAATGTCTCAAACAAATCCCGACATTCTATAACACTTAAGCAAAATACCTAAACTGCCTCTATGCAAAACCTATCAGGGACAGGAGGGATTCCATTATAACAAATTCTAAGAGATCACCTGAATTTTGATATTAATTGACTGTTTCTTTAAAGAAGTAGGTAATTAACTGGCACATGAAATATGGACCTTTATAGTTTTAGAAGGCTTTATACTTTTTAAAAACTATTTTTCTATTTTACCTTCATCACTGTCCAATAAAATAAATAGCACAGGTATAATCTATGTTTTCTCTGTAAGAAAACTAAAGTCAGAAATGTCCTTTTCCCAAGGCCACAAGGCACACATTGGAAACTTTATAGTGTCACAGTGTGATTGGAGTGCAACAAATAAGCTACAGCCTCCAAGATTCTCCCTTGGGAACTTTCAGAAATACATGACATTTGATTTCTTCTTCTTTTTTTAACACCTAAAAATTACAAAATTAATACAATTGTAAGGCAAAAAGATTTCATAGAACTAAGAAGTATTTAGAGGGGAGAAAAAGTCCAACATTATAGTTTGATTTTCCTGTTAAAAAGCATTTCTGTTATTCTGTCATATCCAACAACATTTGCAGTTCCACCCTATTTTAAAGCTGCATATTATTTCATAACATGATAAAATAGTGTGACTTATTTAACCATTCTCCTTTGGTGAGTTATTAAATTGTTTCCAGTTTTCACTATTATAAATATCTTTCTGTCTAGATCTCATATCATTTGTGCAGTTAGTTTTCTAGTTGGGTCCCTAGAAATAGAATTGATGGATCAAAGGACATGAATATTTAAATTTTTAGTAGACTGAAAAATTGTTCATCAGAAATTCTTTATGAATCTGCAGCTTTATTAAGAGTATGTGAGAATGCTGTTTCTCCACAGGCTTGCTAACAATGAAAGTTTCAAGACTTGGACTGAGAGCATGGCTCAAGTAGCAGAGCACTTGCCTAGCAAGCACAAGGCCCTTAATTTAAAACTAAGTACCAGACTCCATGCCCCCTGTGTCTCTGTGGTTGTGTCCAGTGTCCTGTCTCAGCTCCAGTCATCATGGAGTCCCAATTCAGGTCTCCATTGGAGCTGAATTGGCTTGTTGGTATTGTTTTTGTTATTTCTTTCCTCTTTAGCATGTTTCCTGGCTGTGTTATGTGTATTTGCATGCTGTAGGCCTTTGTAACAACTGGCGGCCTGCAGGCTGTTAACTGTATAATAAAGGCTCCAATATTCTATATTTAAAAAAAAAAAAAACTAAGTACCACAAAAAATGATGTCTCATAGAATGAGCACTGAGACATTTAGTATACTCAGCACAGTACCAAGGTACATTTAAAAAGGAAAACTGTAAGCAATAATTTTTACTAGTGTCATAAACTGAGCCTCTTTTCACAGGTGTACTAGCCTAACTGGTATTCTTTTGCCATAGCCTGTTTTCCATTGGTCATCTGTCTTTTAAGATTGTAGAAGAACTTTGCACATATCGTGAATCTAATTCTGGGATTTGTGTCTATAATCTTTTTTTTTCTTCATACATCACTTTTCAGTTTTATGCCTCTCACTATAAAAAGTTTGTTTCATTTTGTCAATTTTTTCTTTTTTTTGTCGGTTGTGGGACTTGAACTCTGGGCTTGGGCGCTGTCCCTCAGCTCTTCAGCTCAAGGCAAGTGCTCTACTGCTTAAGCCACAGCACCACTTCCGGTTTTCTAGTGGTTTTTTGGAGATAAGAGTCTCACAGAATTTCCTGCCCGGGCTGGCTTTAAATTGTGATTCTCAGATTTCAGCCTCCTGAGTAGCTAGGATTACAGGTGTGAGCCACCAGCGCCCAGCTATCATTTTGTCAATTTTTTCTTTGTAGCTTCTGAGTTTTGTAATTTCTCAAACTCAAGACTACAGAAGTATTTTTCCATGGTATTATTGAATAACATACAACATTAGCTATGCTTCTAATGCTTCTATAAGCTTGATTGTAGCCATCTCAGTTATAGCAACCCTATCCTTCCAGTTGCTCAGAACATAAGCATTGAGTCCTCCTCTTCCTTATACCATATCCAATGCATTAGCAATTTTTTCCCATGTTCAAAAGCTCTCCAAATTCTGACAACTTTCTCTACCTTCACTGCCCACATCCTGGCCTGAGTTTCCATCACCAATTGCCTAGACCACTGCAATAGCTTCTTAACTAGTCTATTTGCCTTTATTGTTTCCCCTCTATCTATTCTCCTCATATATGCCATAAGGATCTTTTTAACGTGTAAATTAGATCAAGTCTTGCCTTTGCCCAACTCTGCTGCAAGTTACCAATAACTCTGACAGTAAAAACTAAGGCCTATTTATAGGTTAGGTTAGAAATTCATAGTTTATGTGTTAAGTGTCTTTCTTTCTTTCTTTTTTTTTTGCTTCCCACCCCAACCCAAGTGTCTTGTTTAACACCTTCTACATGGTAAATAGAGGGTAAGTATAAGCTCCTAAGCTTGCGAAAGTCAGTTCTAGCACCCTTACTATTTCTCCTAGGGTCGTGAAGACCTTTCTACACAATCTGGCATACAGTTCTCCAGATCTCAACCTCTTAAGTAGCTAGGATTACTGAAATAAGCCACCAGTACCTACCTCATTTTTAAACTACAAAAACAGCATCCCTGAATTTGATCATCTAGCATATGAATTAGAATTATTTTCAAAGTAAAAGAATCTTAGTTAAAGAGTAATAATTTGTACTATATAGGATATTAGCACATTTAGAATGTCATTTCACCATATCTCAAACAATACAGAAAAATAAATTTCAAATGGGTTAAATGCAGATTTACAAATTCATCTACTTAAGAATTAGTACTTACCGGATACTGGTGAATCATAACTGTAATTCTACTTCCTTGGGAGACTAAGACCCGGAGAACTGTGTTATAAATCTTATCAAGACCAAAAAGTCTGTGAAATTCTGTCTCTGATTTGCCAACAAAGTGATGGACTGGAGGCATGGCTCATAGAGTGCCAGCCATAAGCAAGCAAGCTAAAGCAAGAGCATTAGGACCTTAGTTCAAGCCCCAATGCCAACCCACACAAAAGAGGGGGGAAAAGAAATAAAATGCAATTATAAAGAGATTACTTTGTGTGACTTGGGAGCTGGCTCAGAAGGATATCTAGGTTCTAGAAGAGACCAATATCATTATTGTGGCACCAACATGAGACAGAAACAGAGTCAGAGTCAAAAAGAATGAGAGAGTCAGAAGATCTGGAACTAGAAGCTTTCCATATATGTTTTTTGATTATCAAAATAGTCTTTGTGGAAAACTGCAGCTTATTGGACTTCTTTATGTACATTTTGTAGTTTAGTATGATGTTAAAAGTCTTAAATTACACATGAATGGGCACCATCTAACCAGTATTCAGTATCTAAATATTTTGTTTCTGTTATGATGGTTCCAAAGAGGATTCAAAATGCCTTAAGAGAATCACAGCACCAATCCTTTTTCCAACATCCTGCGAGGATTATCTTTTGATCAACCCTACCAGCTCTTCAAACTCTTAACTCATATATATCACTGTCTGTTTCCAAACTTGTGCTCCTTACCTAGCATTGTTGCTCATGCCTCCATTATAAGTTTCCATTGGGACATTCTTTATTTTCCCTTCATTCCAACTCTTTTGAGA